ACCCCACACACACACACATAAAAAAAAAGCAACTGATTCCTGAATGCCTGCTAAGGAGGCTACCTTCCACTAGCCTTGACACCTGTTCTCGACAGATGAGTATCATTTCCAACATTTCCAACAAACGCATGCCTGCAGTGCCAACAAAGTTCACTAGGTGGCCCAAACTAACACGGTGATAACTTCTTCCCAAGTCAAAAATACTACATGTACATACCACTCAACCATGTACTGTAATTTACCTTCATTGTCTTCACAATGGCAAAATTACATTACTCTGAACTTAATCTTCACAGTGGCAGGAGGGAGGGGGGCGAAAGACAAATAATTTGATAACAGTTACTAATAATGATATGTTCACAGCACAGAAGTAACTGTTAAAATGTGAACTGAAAAAATCAGCAATTACAGTATTTTCAAAACCAGAAGTTTGCGGGCCAAAGTGATGATTTGTTGTTCCCGATACTTACCTTACATATATTTTGCTCTATTTTTTTCCAGATAAATTCTTGACCAGTGTGTTGAAGGTTCTTCCTCAAGCATCCACTATGCCAGATAACATTGAAAGGTATTGAACAAAAAAGAATAACTGTTGTTTAGGTCAATGAAGTTTAGACATCCAGGTAATACGGTACGCCAAAAAGCAGTTACTCAAGCAACTGGTAGTGGTGTGATTCCAAAATCATATCCAGTCGCTTGAGTAACTGCTTTTTTGGCGAACTGTTGTTTATTTTCAAATCATTCTGACTGGGTTTCACTTGATTGACAGGGTATTGATCCTGAAAAGAATGTATGAAACATAAACCATGGTGCAATTATAGAAGAGTAGGTTTTGTCTTACAATTTATATGACTAACATATTAATGATGTATTTAATCCTGTAATTCATTCATTCAACCCATATTAACAATATACTTCCCAGAAGTTTCAAACCTTCAATTTCTTGTTGGGCCACACCAATTTGATTTGTTGGTTCTCAGATTTTTTCATGAAAAAATATGAAGCGACAGGGCGAAAAATACAAAAAAATGAAAACAGGTCCAGGCATCCTATTATAGCCCTAAATGCTACTAGGAGCCATGAAGTTAACACAAAAGGCTGGGTTAATATTTAAACAATGAGTTTTGAACTTTTAATGAAACCACTGCATTGATACTATTAAATGGAAAAACTGTATAAACTAGGAAGAAGAAGTTAGACTTTCCTCAACTGTTGGGGGCAAAATATGGTCAATTTTTAGTTGATTCGAAACCAGAATCTTTTTTTTTTTTGCAAATCTGAAAAAAAAAATTAAGAGGCAAATCCTAGAACCAACAAATAAAATTGATGTGGCCTTAATGCTGTATTGAGAACCCCCATGTCTAATGCTATGATATAATGTTCTCTTGCAGAATTCAATGTAAGCGCTGCATGGTTGTGGGCAGTGGTGGCATATTGGAAGGAAAGAAACTTGGAGCACAAATTGATGACTTCGATATAGTCATACGGTAAGGTTCAAAAATCTGTAGACACCCCAGTTCTTCAACTTGAAGTCAACTTTATTTTGCTAATATGTTCACTCCCAGGCGCACTACAATTGCAGAGTAGACAGGAAATTTGGGGGACGTCCAAACACGTCCAAAAGCTGGGACGTGTGCCCAATAAACAAAGGAATTCGAAGGGCTGACATTCTGATGTTGATTAATTTTCTATTGTCCCAAAGTGTCTTTTCAGTTGTACCAGCCTAAATTTTAGTGGTCAGTGGCCATTGGACCACCTTTAATTTCAAGCCCTTTTTTTATTTATTTATCCTGTCCAGTAATAACAGCTCAGGCCATTTTGGCCTGCTTTTCAGGTAATCCTGGATACACATAAAAATACACACAACAAATACACAGTACATAAACAACTACTAAATACACCCTAAACATCAACAGGCTCAAGTCCTGCTCCTAATGAACTGTTTAAAAGTCCTGAGACTAAGGAGCTGTCGTTGCTGTAGCGGAAGAGTGTTCCACAGGTAAGGTACATAGTACTGTAGACTGCTCTGGTATGCCGCAACTTTTGCTGGTGGACAGAAGAGTAGGTGAGGGTCATAGTCCGTAAGATGCTTTAACTCTGACCGAGTAGTCCGTACATGTTGAAGGAGTCTCCCACTTGAACAAAGATGCCATGTACACCGTCGCACTTCCACAAATTGCCTTAACCCTGTGTTTGTTTTTTTTGCAGAATGAACAATGCTCCTGTGCAAGGGTTCCAGGAAGATGTTGGTCACAAAACGACGATCAGAATGTCGTATCCGGAGGGCGCGCTTCAGGACCCGAAAGGTTACGACCCGGATTCTCTCTTCCTCATGGTGCCCTTTAAGTCACTTGACTTCCTCTGGCTCCAGAGGATCATAGGAAAACAATCACTGGTAAGGACGATGTGCTGCAAGTCTTGATAAATCTGCAGTAGTTTTATTTTCAAATTTGTTAGGCCACACCAATTTAGTTTCTTGGTTAACAAATTTTTCTAGAAAAATAATGGAGCAGGCGGGCGAAAAAAAAAACCAAGGCCTAGGCATCCTATGATGGCCCAAAATGGTACGATAGGAGCCATGAAGTCAACACACCAGACTGGTTCAAAATTTAAACAATGAATTTTGAACTTTTAGTGATACCACTGCATTGAAAGATGGAATAACTGTAACAACTAGGAAGAAAAAGAATTGTTTTCAACTGTTCATGGCAAAATATGAGCATTTTGCAGTTGATTCTGATTTTTTTTTTGCATATCAGCGGGCGTATCTGTTAACCAAGAAGTTAAATTGGAATTGTTAACGGAAAGAAATTAAATTGGTGTGGCCTTACCAAGTCATGACACTCCAAAATTTAATGTGTGTGTATTTTTGTGCTACAATGTAATTTTTTTACAATGAAGGTAAAACACAGGGAATACCTCAACTCCACTCCTACTGCAATTTTTTTCAGCGTGATATCTCTTCAAAGTTTTGGAAGTCCATCGCGCACGTGGTTCCGAAGAATGCGGACAAGTTTCGTATCGTGAACCCGGCCCTACTGCAGGAGACGTCCTTTGATCTGATTGGCTTTCCTACTAAGGGTGGGAAGATGGGAAAGGTGGGCTGCACAATTCTACATGTTAAATATTATCTGCTTGTTAACTAGTAAACTACGTGAGACACAGTGTTTTTAATAGCTGTTCCTTCTAGAAATAACATTTAATTTTGTTTTCGTGCTAGGAGGATCAGAATTCAAATTTAAATTAATGTCAAACCAGATAATTCCACTAATGCAACAATCATTATTCCTGGTGCGTCACTACCAAGTAGTAGATATATCATAGCCACATGACAATGCAGTATCAGTAATCCCAGAGAAAAAAATATGGTTAGAGTACCTGGCAGATTCATGAGCGTTTGATTTAAGCCCCATTCATTCGTCTAATTCTGTGTATCAAAGCTAATGCATATTTTCCGATGTTTTCCAGAACGTACCGACAATGGGCTCGTTGGGTATCATTTGGGCCATCAACTACTGCGACGAAGTTTCGGTGGCCGGATTTGGCTATGACCTCTCGAAGCCCTCTGTGTGGCTACATTACTACAAGGACGTCAAGATGTCTACCATCGCGAACTCCTGGACTCACGACATCAACAAGGAGAAAGATTTCCTGAAAACTCTAGTAAGGAATGGGGTCATTACAGACCTGACAGGTGGGATTCTGGGGGGGATTTGAGAAATGTCTGAAGGATTTATTGCTATGATTGTGACTTGATTTGATTTTGATTTATTGAAATTGTGCAGAGCAATACACGTGGGATACAGGCAGCTGTTACTAGTGTTGTGTCCCACACATAGAAACGAATACTGGACAGACAGTACTCATTTTTACTTGAGTTTAGTGGGGAAAGTCGTGTAAAGTGCCTTTCCCCAAGGGTACAAGATCGTTGGCATGTCAGGACTTGAACCCGGGACCTCTTGGTCCCGACTTGAGCACCCTGTCATTGTGCCACATGACCCCACAACAAAGCAATCTTCTCAGTGCACATGTGTTGTGAAATATAACTGAATTTGATTCATTGAACATTGGCTAGCAAACTATTGAACCCAACTAGAGCTTAGTGTGTCAAAACATTGTTAGATCGTTTACTTTGACTTTCACATGCAAAAAACCTACTCTTGGATCTCATGTTTTTGTCGTTTTCCAATGTGAATTCATCTTTGTGGTACATGTAGGAACCACAAAATAAGTGCTAATATATATTACTACAATCATATTGTCTAATAAGTGGAATTTTATTCATGTACACTATTTTGACATTCCATATTTTGGTCCTGCACCTAAGAAAAATTTAGGGGTATCGCAACAACACCCCATACTACTAAGCAATGCCTCAGCAATAAAATGTAACAACATGGAAACAAAGGACATTGCTTT